GCCGCCCAAGAGAGCCCCAAGAGGTGAAAATCAACAATTTTACGAAGGTTTCTGAAAGGTTTGGACTTCGCGCCTTTTCGGCTTTCCGACGCTCCAAGACGGCCCACGAAGCCTCCAAGATTGCCCCAAGACGGCCCAAGAGGCCCCCAAGAGGGCCCCAAGACTGCCCAAGAGGGCCCCAAGACGGCCCAAGAAGCGCCCAAGACGGTCCAAGAGGGCCCCAAGACGGCACCAAGAGGGGCCCAAGAGCAGGAGCAGGAACCGAAAATTCGAGCCTTCTGCCTCAAGAGAGCCCCAGGATTCCCCAAGAGGCCCCCAAAGGCCCCAAGAAGCGCCCAAGAGGCCCCCCAGAGGCCCCAATAGGCGTCCAAAAGACCAAATGATGCCCCAAAACTACCCCCAAGAGGCCTCAAAACAGTCTCCCAGAAGCCCCCGAGAGACCGACCACGATTATACATATTTCTTCGTCGGACGTCTTCCCCGTCATCTAATCAAGCCCACAACAGGCCACTCCTTCCATGTCCCTGCCGCTCTCACCAATCATCCCCACCTCTATTTTCAGGTCGGGGTTCGTGGCAATATCAGTTTTTTTTTTCTGGGGGTGGATCGGTGGCGCGACGTGATTCGCGCCATCAAACCAGCAACGCGTGACGAGATCAAGGCCAAGTGCGCTTACCTTCGCGACACATTGGCTGGAGGGCTCCAATTGCTACGTCGTCGGCATGCTGGTGGGCAACTTCTCGCTGTTCGCCCACCGCGCGGCGGTGGACCCCGCCCGCGCCCCTTCGGGAGACCCGCTTCTGCATGCGCGACCTGCTGGAAGAGGGGGCCCCTCTCCATCACTTCCAGCAACGTCGACTCGCGGGCCAGAGCAGGAAACAAATATTTCCCCATTGTGGCTCAGTCGTCAGATGTCATCGTTGCCCAGGAGCACCGTATCATCCAGGGGCGTTCCCAGCGGATTCAGGGCCAGCTTCCGTCGGAAGATGGGCGAGGGCTGGCGAATCCGCGGCTGCTGAAACGGTCTTCCTGGAAGGACAAACATATTCCTGGGACCAAACTCAGCGCGCCAAATCGTAAATGGGCTGCCTCCCTGAGAAAAGGAAAAGTATAATACAGTCCCGGAGCTCCGTTTTAGCGGCCGCGGGTTTGCCCGCCTTCGCCAGGTTTCTGATTCAGCGCCAAGGTTGGCGTGTCTTCGAGACTTCTGCCGCTGCGCCGTAAAGCGGGAGGGGCTCTGGAGGTGGCGCTATCCCAGTTGAGGGCCACGTGGAGGCTTAGTGGGTCAGGTCAGGTCAGGTAGAGCCGTTCACCAGATGGTGCGTGAGCAGGATAAAAACATGGAGAACATCCAGATGCCTTCAGCATCCTCTCTGGCTTCTGACAGCCAACTCCCACTCGCGCGCTGCACCGCCCTCTGGGCGGAAATAGTCAGCGAGGCGCGCGTGTGAGAGCCGGCAACTTCAATGCAATCGCGCATTACGAGATGCCCCCACGTCTGTCGGGGTCTGCCTCGTTTCCGCGGACTGGTCGGCCTGCGCAGCTGCATGGTGCCTGGTTCAAACACCGAGCACCTCGCGGGGTCATCCGCTGGTCGCCTGGCCAACTCCGCCATGAAAATCATCTGTCTTCTGGCGAGTCCTTCGCTGAGCTGCTCTTCAGAAGCGATCTCGAGCACAGCAGCGTTGGACACTCGACTCATGTAGGTTGGCGGTACATGGCAAATCCTCCGTAAACAGCGGTTCTGAAAATTATCGAGCCTCCGCCGCTCCGCTTTGTTCAAGCATGCGGCAAACAATGAGTATGTCAGCTTCGACACATTGCAAGCGTTGACTATGCGAATCTCCTGCGCCCTGCTGAGTCTGGAATGCGACCAAATGTAATCAAGTGTCTTGAAGTCTTTCGCTGCTCCCCCTAAACGGCGGCCGAGTTCAGTCCCGACCCTGCCGTCGGCAGACAGAGATGTACCAAGATAAATGAGCGATTGCTTGTTATCGAACGGCACCCCCTCATTGTTCAGTATGCCAGCGGCGGATCTGACGCCCATGAACTCAAATTTCTTCCAATCGAACTGCAGCCCATAATGTGCTCCGCATTGCTCTATGCTGTGCATCAACTCCTGGAGTATTGTCGGGTCACTATCGATGAGCAGAGTGTCATCGCCGAGCTTCTTGCGCAGCAGTTTGTAAGCGTCTGTGAGCAGCGTGGACATTGCGATTGTGAACAAGAAGGGCGACAGCGGGCATGCTTGGCAGATACCATAATGTTGCCGATGCCCCGAAGATGTCCGCCCAAAGTCTGCAACTACAAAAGAACGGTTTTCGTAGATTGACCCAACCATGCGTGCAAATTTGCATGGGCAGCCGAACCTGAGAAGCGATGTGACCAGTGCGCCCGGGGAAACATAATCGAACGCCTTTGCCCAGTCCAGCGCGAGGAACATGGTTAGTCCTCCCATCGTGGACCATGCGTCCTCCAAGATGCGGCGGGCGACGAAGATTGCGTCTGCAGTCCCGCGCTGCGTTCCGAATCCTAATTGCGTTTTCCATCTGCGATCCTCGGCACCCGCTCTCTGGAGTCTCTGCAGGAGGATGGCGGCGAAGATGTTATACCCGATCGGCAGAAGACTGATGGGTCGATAATTATCGCACAGCGCTGGGTTCCCATATCATCCGAACTTTCGATATGTGCCAGGCCTGCGGAACTGCCTCTTGGGACCACGCCAGGTCGCAGAAGCGAATAATTCACTCCATCGTGGGCGTGCCATCCTCGGTTGCCGCTTTCCAGAATTCAGGCGGCACCTCGTCAATGCCACCAGCCCTGCCTCGTTTCAATTTCCGGGCGGCTTGCCGGACTTCAGCGTCAGTGATCACGCCCAGGTTAATCATGGGCTCCCCGTGGATGGGCGAGGTGTCCAGCAAGGCAGCGGTCGGTCGCACAGCCCATTGAATTTGTTCTAGGTGTTCGGTCAGGATGTTGGCTCGCTGGTCGCTGTCGACGACTTGCTTGTTGGCGTCGCAGAGCCTGCATTGCTGCCGTGTCGCGCCCTTCCGAAGCTTCCGAATCTGCCCCCAATGGCCAGTCGCCGTGAGCGTCTCCAGCCATGCTGGAGACGCTCACGGCTGAGGCTGACATTTTGACATGGGTTTCTCTGGGTTGTTCTGCAACTTCGAGGCCCAGATCCCCTTGGGGCACATGCAGGGCACTCCCGCGACTCCGAGGGGCTTTCGCCCAGGCGCATCGCCATCCTAGGACGTTTCGGGGATGAGGTATCCAAGAGGGGGTTCCCGTGCATTTTTGGCGCGGGCATCGACGTCTGGCCTGAAACAGTCTCCTGGGGCTTCCCTCTTCACCTTCTCCGATGCCTCGCCAGGGCCCCTGTTGACGTTCCTAGACTGCGCCGCCGTCGCTGGCTGCAATATGGCCTTCCTCGCCGTCGGCTTCGCCGTGATTCACAAGGCCTTCGACACTTTGGTCAGGGAGCTGACAGCCGACGCGATGGTTGCCCTTGGGCCCCGCAGACCAGTTCGTATCGCTTCTGGGAAGATCGCAGAGGACATCCTCGTTGAAGTTCCCTAGAAGAGCCAGAGGTTGCCCTCTGCGCCCTTGATCGGGCCCCAGATGGAACCTCCGGGCTCTCGCCGCGCGGGGCCAGGCGTCAACGCATTCTTCTACAAACTGGATGCTCGCACCGCGCACTAGGAGGCGACCTCCTGCAGGAGGCCACTGACCTGCTCGACGTCACCTTCAGCAAGTGGAATCAGCAGGCGGGTGACCAGCCAGGAGGTCTCGGCGGGGCCTCACCCCTCGAATGAGAGTTCAAACAAGTGTCATCGTTCTGGGCAACCCGCGCGCCGCCGCCCCAACCTCCTCGTGTTCTGGGGTGGGTGGTGGCCTTGCTGAGGTCAAAGCGCCGCTCTCCCATGGGGCGAAAAACGGGTCCGACTCGCATGTATTTGCCCTCGTGGAGCAATTATATAGCCAAGATCGAAGACGACCGAGGGCCCCGCAGGAAACATTGGCGAGGCGGGATAGACCTCTGACACCCCATCCTCAAGATCACATGTTTGCCCACTTTCGGGGATCCAGAGGGGGGCCCTTGTCCTGCGGACGCGGCCATTGGGGCTTTCGGTGGAGCTCCCTATGGGGCCACGAAATTTGTGAGGGATGTGCTGACATGGACGCGCGGTCGGCGGGGAACCGGATGCGGACGCGGCCGCTGAGGCCTTCGGTGGAGCTCCCTACGGGCCACGAAACGGGTGACCGGTGTGCCGAAATGGACGGGCGGTGGGCGGGGAACCGCGTGCGGACGCGGCCGTTGGGAACTTCGGTAGAGCCCCCCTATGGGGCCACGAAGCGTGTGAGGGATGTGCCGAAGTGGACGCGCAGTGGGCGGGGAACCGGATGCGGACGCGGCCATTGGGGCCTTCGGTGGAGCTTCCTATGGGGCCACGAAACGTGTGAGGGGTGTGCCGAAGTGCACGCGCGGTGGGCGGGGAACCGCATTCGGACGCGGCCATTGGGGCCATCGGTGGAGCTTCCTATGGGGCCACGAAACGTGTGGGGGGTGTGCCGGAATGGACGTTCGGAGGGCAGAGGCAAGGAGGGGGAGGAGGAGGAGGAGGAGGAGGAGGAGGAGGAGGAGGAGGAGGAGGAGGAGGAGGAGGAGGTGGAGGAGGAGGAGGAGGAGGGGGGAGGGGGCAGTGGGAGAAGTGACGCGGGGCGGTGTCTCTTCAAAACGAGGACCCACACCAAAGGATTGTTGGGAATGAGGGAAGATGGCAAGGAGGAGGTGGAGGTGGGGTGAGAAACGCGGAGACGTGGACCGTCTGTGAAATAGATGTTTCCTGTTCAGGAGGAAGAGGAGGCGAAGGAGGGATGATGAGGAGGACGGGGGAGGGATGGGGGGAGGGTATGAGGGGGACGAGGAGAAGGAGGGAACCTCATCGCCACGAGCAATTGCATGCTGAGCCAGCCCCCGCGGACCCACATCCTCCGAGGCCATCACGGCAAGGTTGGCCGCAACTTCCAGGTGTTCTTGCGCGACAACCTCCTCCAGGAGATCTGCTCACACGCCGAGGTGGGCAGGGGACTCTTGACATCCGATCGTACTTGTCATTGCCGTCGTCGTCGTCGTAATTGTCGTCGTCGTCGTCGTCGTCGTCGTCGTCGTCGTCGTCGTCGTCGTCGTCATTGCCGCCGTCGTCGGCGTCGGCGTCGGCGTCGGCGTCGTCGTCGTCGTTGCCAATGTCCTTGTCATCGCGATCGTCGTGGTAGTCGTCGTCGTCGTCGTCGGCAGCGGCGGTGGCTTTCCTGCGCCGTGGCGAATCGAGACGGGTCGCATAATCACGCCTCAAACGGGGCCCGAAGTTCCAGGCGTGACTTGCTCACGGCCTCGTCCCCACGAGGGCGGACGTCGCAGGCGGCCCCCTCCCTTCTCCAGCCCTTCCCGTCCCCTCCCCTGGCCGCGCGTGTTCTCCAAAGGCCCCCGCAGGAGGTCCCCAGAGGTCCTCTTCTCCCTGAGGTCTGGCCATGGCCCCCCGGCGGCTTCCAGAGGGCTAAGCAAACAAGCCAAAGAGGTCGGTGCCGCCAATATTTCTCCTCCTCCTCCTCCTCCTCCTTCTCCTCCTCCTCCTCCTCCGCCTCCTCCTCCTCCTCCTCCTCCTCCTTCTCCTCTTCCTAGCAGCGTCGCGGTTCTGCGGCGCGCCGTCGTTCTGTGGCCGGGAGCGAGCACACTCCGCCGCCTCCTCCTCCTCCTCTTCCTCCTCCTCCGCCTCCCACTCCTCATCCTCCCCCTTCTCCTCCTCCTCCTCCTCCTCCCCCCTCCTCCTCCTCATCCTCCTCCTCATCCTCCTCCTCCGTAGCCGTGTTGGCTCAAGATGCGAGTTTCCCTTTGGGAGCGAAGTGGATACCGCGGCAGGCGAGACTTCTTGAAGTCTGGCGACGCTTCTCGCTCGCGCTCCCTGCGCTCGGGACGGCGGGTAAACAGAGGCGTTTCCCGTTTTTGTCGGCTCGATCGCACCACCTCTCCACCGCATGGCGGCCTCCTCCGTGCACGTGCTCTCGTCCCAGGACGCCGCCGCCATCGACGCCTGCCACAACTTCGCCTCGCAGGAGTCCGTGTGAGCTGGCAAGCGCGGGGGTCGGGACGGCAGGGAGGGGCACGCTGGACGTCGCCGCAGGGTTGCCCGAGGCAGGCACGACACGGGCTCCCCCTCCTCGGATGCAGGTTCGACGTCGCGCAGCGGGCGCGGGCAGGGGCGTGCTGCTGGTCATTGGTCTGGCCCTGTGGATCTTGACGACGATCTGGAGCAGTGGAGGACGCAGCAGGTTCCGACCCTCCTTCTCGCCGACGAGGAGCAGGGGAGGGACCGCGGTGCCCGACGGGATGGCGGAGGCCGCGCCCCTCCTGACGCGTGGGCGGCTGCAACGGCGCTGGCGGGTTTGCCTCCTGCTGGCACGGAGCGAACACGCCGCTCAGCACCAATGCGGCAGGCTCCCGCGGCGCATCCTAAACATGTTGGTGGCCTGGGCGCCCCGCCTGCGCGGCCTGGCGTAGCTGGAGCGGCAGGACCTGCGGCACACGCAGCTTTCCCTGGTCATGAGGGTGTACCGCAGCCCGTCGGGGCAAGCCTCCAGAGCATGGAGGCGCGCCTCCAGGCTTCGCTGCAGACGGCAGTGGCGACGGCCAGCGCGAGCATGTCCCAGGTCTTCCAGGACACAGTCATCGACCTGGCGAAGCAGAACGATGCGCGATTCCAAGCGATGGAGGACCGCATCGCGCCAGTTGGGGCGAGGATGAACGACCTCGACCGACTGCAGAAGGATATCCAGATGCTCATGGACGGGTTGGTTGTGCTCAACTCGGGAGTCTCGGTGCCGCAGACGGGCGGCAACTTGGACAGAGACCTTGACCCTGCGGTTGCCACGGTCTTTGCGAAGACGGCGTTGGCGAGCAGGCCCTGGCCCGCTGGTCGCCGAGGAGCAGCTCCATGATCACGTGCGGCTGGAGGGCGATGCGGTCTCACGGAGGTTCCTGCGGCGCTGCAAGGGCGCGGCCACGCTCGCCGAGAGGAGGGCCAGCACGCTCCTGCAGCTCATACGGCTTGGCAAGCGCCAGTGGCGCGAGGTGCATGCGCTGGCCCCGACAGGCGTGCAGGTCAACCTCAATCTGGGCAAGGGCCGCAATCGACGACAGGTCAGCCACGAGCTTGCGCTCAAAAAGATCAGGCAGGGCATCGAGAGGATGCTCCCGCGCGAGCTGTTCATGAAGAAGGATGCGGCCGCGCTCTCGCCCCAGTGGGCCCAGCTGCTGCGAGTGGAGATCGCGTCGCCCACCGCGCGCCCGGAGATCATTTGGAACGCGGCCTGCATCAGGGAGTTCGATCTCAACAAGGACGAGCTGGCGGAGGCAGCGGCGCAGGTGCTGCAGCCCGAGGCTCAGGAAGGGGTGTCTTTAACCGCATGGCGCGCTGCTGGGGCGGCGCGCAGAGTGGCGCCGCTGGGGCGGCGCAGTTCGCTTCCTGGAATGCCCGGGCCTTCGCGAGTGACTCCCCCGAAGATCGTCAAGCGCAAGTTGCCATGCCTGCAGACGCACTGGCGGGGGCCAGTCGTCCTGGGAATGCAGGAGACGCGCGCGGGCGTTGAGGCCACGCAGCAGCTGCTTGGCCGTTGCCCGCGATCGTGCGCGCTTTGCATCTGCTCCGACAGGCGCGCGGGCTGACGCGGGAGGCGCGGCCGCTTTCTTCCCTGCGCAGACCAGCGGAGAGCGCGTCGTCAGTGTTCCGCCCCATGCGATTCCTGGCCGTGCCCTCCGAGTCATGGCATCGCTGCCTGGCGCCGAGCTGCGCCGCTGGAACGTGCGCAACTTCGGCTTCGCGGCGGAGATGCGGACCCGCCTCCTCCAACATAATCGTGCTGATCTAGCGTGGGCCCACGCCGATCCCGCGGCCCGCGCAGTGGTCATCGTCGGCGACTTCGACTACGGCGACGTCCTCGGGGCGAGTTCGGCGGCCCCCCCCCACCCCCGGCGGCCCCGCCGTCGGGCTCGCGGGCGCCCGCTCAGCGCGCCTGGGAGGAGGCGCTGCGCCGGGCTGTCGAGCTGGCCCCTGCACGTGCGAGGCACTGGCATCAGGGCCTGCGCCTGGCCTCCGGGATCGGCAAAGCTTTGGTCAGTGAGCCGCGCCGGGCCCAGTGCAAGCAGCGGCGAGACGCCTCGGTGCGCGGCGAGCCGAGGGAGCTCCAGGCCAATGGCGCGAGCGACCACGCGATGCTAAAAGCGTCTGTTGCCCCTCGGGCACCGCGGCCTCCTGCCAGAGGCCCCGCTCCGATCCCGGGGAAGCTGGTGAAGCCCCCGCGCTACCGGGAGATCGTGGCATGCTACTGCGAGGAGGTCCGCCAGGAGCATCTGGCGCCACCCGACGCCTACGCCGCGTGCGTCGCGACCCTGCAGACAGCGGCCAAGCTCCTGCAGGCCGATCTGCTGCTGGCGACCGACGGGGGCGCGAAGGGCGCGAACGCTATGATCTGGCGACAGCTCGCGAGGGCGCTCTGGCGCCAGGGCGCCAAGCTGGCGCGCGTCGCGATGGCGCAGAACGCCTGGGCCTGCGAGGTGATCCAGCGGGGGGGTGCAGGGCCAGTCCGAACGGGCGGTGCTCAAGGGCCACGCGGAGTTCGAGCGCCGCTTTTTGCTGGCTCAGCGACGAGAGGCGGCGGCCAGGATGCGCGAGGCGCAGCCCGAGGCTGAGGTGGAGTCGGCCGCGGAGCTGCGCAAGCTCATGCTGGCGCAGGCCCGCGCCCTGCGGAGGCGCCCCCAGCTGCGGGCCCCGCGGGGGGCCCGGCAACGCCTCGCCGCCGTGGGCCCCCCCGGCGCGCCGTCACCGCGCAGCAGGGCACGGTGGCGGCACTGGCGGCCCACCGGGCGCTTGTCTTCGCGCCGCCCCGGGGCCCCGCCGTCGAGCGGAGGAGGGCGCAGATGCAGGAGAAGTACCTGATGCGGTTCGCCACGCCCGAACCTGAGTGGGACTAGCTCCCGCCGCCTGGCTTGCATGCGCCGCGCCAGGCCGTGACCCGCGCTAGGCCCGCGGCGCCTGGCCCCGACGGCCTGCCAGCTGCAGCCTGGGGAGTGGCGAGGCAAGGTGCTGAGACCTTGCATCGTGCTTCGGGTCCGATTTTAATGCGGCCATCGGAGTGTTCATCCCGAAAGCGCAGGCCCCGTCGGACGGTTCGCCCCGCTCCTGCCCCCCCCGTGCCACCCGCCCTCTCTCCTTCAAATCGACGGGGCCAAAGGCGATCTCGAGCGCGTTCGATGTCAGTTCTGCCCGCGGCATCAAAACGACGGTCTCGCCCTCCCAGAGGGGCGTTGTCCGAGGCAGATCCTGTTTGTCGAATTTGTTCGAGCTCGACGCTTGGGCCCGAGTAGCGGGCACGCGCGCGATCGACCCCGAAGGCTGCCCCGCCGAGTCGTCGTCGCCCATGCTGCTCGCGCGCGATTATGGCCAGGCTTTCCCCTCCATGGCCCACTCTTGGTGGTGGCGGGCCCTCGGGGCCTGGGGGGCTCTTCGCGGCGCGATCGAGGCGCTCCAGGGGACGTGCGCGCAAGCCACCGTGTGCAGTAGCTGTTCTGCCCGAGTCTCCTGATATGACGCGCGAGGTGGAGTCATGCAAGGCGACCCCCCCATCGGGTAGCACGTTCACGTTGGGATTGGACCCTTCTGACCGCGACCATGACGCGTCTCTCGGAGCTTGCGACGAGGGGCTCGCCAGATGGCGCGCGGACGACTGCGGTGCTGTGGTCAGGGGGGCCCCCGGTCCCAAGAATATGCGCCGTGTCCTCGATGTGTCTGGCAATATTGCGAACCTGCATCTTCGGCCAAGCAAATGCTTCTGCGCGCCGCTGTGGGCCCCTTTTCTCGCCCGCGGCCCAGTGACGTGCTCGGCTTCCCCTGAGAGACATTTCGAGCGAGTGGGGCCAATTTCGGGTCGTCTCCGAGCTAGTGCACCTCGGATGCATCATCTGTCGACCACCGCGCATGCACAGTGGGCGCCTTTGGTGCAGAAATACAAAGAACGCACGAGTGCCATTTCTCGCACGGGAGCGGGCGCGGCCGCTTGCTGCGCGCTGTATCATGGGTGTGCTGTCAGCGTCTTGCAGCGCAGAAGTCAGTTGCACGAACTCCCGAGGGAGGTGGCTGACGAGCGGCACACTCTGACCCGCCTTTTCAGAGCCTCAGGCTCCTGGCTTTCACTGAGATGTTGTTCCCCGACCTGGCGGAGGGGTTCCCGTTGTGTGTCCCCCTGGGGGGGTCTGGGGGGGGACCCCCCCGGACAGGGCCCTGGCCACGGGCGGAACGCCGGCGGAAGACGGCCGAACACGGCACCATGCTGCACCATTTTTGTAGACGCGCTTCCGGGAGGCACGTACGGCCCTAAGATGATCCACAAGACGGTCCAAGAGGGCCTCGAGTCGCCGAAAGATCGGCCCAAGACGCCCAAGGAGCCCCCAAAACGGTCCAGGAGGCCTCCAAGAGGCTCCCCAGGAGAGCCCCAAGAGTCAAAATTCATTACTTTTCCATAGGTTTTTCGACGTTTTTCGTGTTCTCGCCTGTTCGGCTTCCCGCGCTCCAAGACGGCCCAAGAGGCCCCAAAGATCGCTCCAAGACGGCGTAAGCGGCCCCCAAGAGAGCGCCCAGACGGCCCAAAAAGCCCCCAAGACGGCCCAAGTCGCCTCCAAGACGGCCTCAGAAGGTGCCAGGAACGCCCCAAGAGAGTCCCCAGGGGGGAGGCAGGCCCCGACATTTCGGGCTCCCCGCCCGAAGAGACCCCCAGGAGGCCCCGAAGAGGCCTCCAAGAGGCTTCAAGACGCCTCCAGGAAGCCCCCAGAAGCTTCCAGGAAGCCCCCAGAAGCGCCCAAGAGGGCCCCGACACTGCCTCAAGAGGGCCCCAGGACCTGACCTCCGCTCCGAGATGTACCGTCCTTTTTTGGATACTTTTTCATCCAAGAAGCTTGGCCAGAAAAGCCCCAGTCGAAATTTCAAGTTCCCACAAGTCCCCCAGAAAGCGTTGACGGGCAACGTGCTCAACTCACGCTCGTGTGCCTTCTGTCATCTTTTCTTGCGCACATCCTTTCCAAACCTGGTGGCTCGCATGGTCGCGTGCTGAGCTCACCTAATATGTCTCCGAGCCCAACTGCCCAAACGGACAACCACGGAACCAACATAGTGCACCATCAAGGCATCTTCTTCTTTAGTTCCGACATTTCGGGCTCCCCCCAGAAGTCACCAAGAGGCCCCCAGGAGGCCCCGAAGAGACTCCAAGTGCCTTCTGTCATCTTTTCTTGCGCACATCCTTTCCAAACCTGGTGGCTCGCATGGTCGCGTGCTGAGCTCACCAAATATGTCTCCGAGCCCACCTGCCCAAACGGACAGCCAGGGAACCAACATAGTGCACCATCAAGGCATCCTCTTCTTAAGTTCCGACATTTCGGGCTCCCCTCCCGAAGAGACCCCCAGGAGACACCAAGAGGCCCCCAGGAGGCCCCGAAGAGCCTCCAAGAGGCCGCAAGACGCCTCCAGGAAGCCCCCGAAAGCCTCCAGGAAGCCCCTAGAAGCGCCCAAGAGGGCCCCGACACTGCCTCAACAGGGCCCCAGGACCTGACCTCCGCTCCGAGATGCACCGTCCTTTTTTGGATACCTTCTCATCCAGGAAGCTTCGCCACAAAAGCCCCAGTCGAAATTTCAAGTTCCCACAAGTCCCCCAGAAAGCGTTCACGGGCAACGTGCTCAACTCACGCTCGTGTGGCTTCTGTCATCTTTTCTTGCGCACATCCTTTCCAAACCCGGTGGCTCGCATGGTCGCGTGCTGAGCTCACCTACTATGTCTCCGAGCTCAACTGCCCAAACGGACAACCAGGGAACCAACATAGTGGCCGCAAGACGCCTCGAGGAAGCCCCCGAAAGCCTCCAGGAAGCCCCTAGCAGCGCCCAAGAGGGCCCCGACACTGCCTCAACAGGGCCCCAGGACCTGACCTCCGCTCCGAGATGCACCGTCCTTTTTTGGATACCTTCTCATCCAGGAAGCTTCGCCACAAAAGCCCCAGTCGAAATTTCAAGTTCCCACAAGTCCCCCAGAAAGCGTTCACGGGCAACGTGCTCAACTCACGCTCGTGTGGCTTCTGTCATCTTTTCTTGCGCACATCCTTTCCAAAGCCGGTGGCTCGCATGGTCGCGTGCTGAGCTCACCTACTATGTCTCCGAGCCCAACTGCTCAAACGGACAACCAGGGCACCAACATAGTGCACCATCAAGGCATCCTCTTCTTTAGTTCCGTGGGTCTCGCATCTCTTTCCAATCACCTCTCGGCCAACTCCCACGAAGCGTTCTTTTTCCCCTTTCCAGCGCGCTACCTCACCAAACCAAAGTTTTCCTAAGGCCTCGCATGGCCCCGTCCTCTGCACACTTCGCCTCGGACCCCGACACTGCCTCAAGAGGGCCCCAGGATGGCGTCCTGAGATCCGCTCCGAGATGCACCGTCCTTTTTTGGATACCTTTTCATTCAGGAAGCTTGGCCAGAAAAGCCCCAGTCGAAATGTCAAGTTCCCACAAGTCCCCCAGTCAAGTTCCCACCAGTCCCCCAGACTGCGTTGGGTGGCAACGTGCTCCACTCACGCTCGTGTTCCTTCTGTCATCTTTTCTTGCGCACATCCTTTCCAAACCCGGTGGCTCGCATGGTCGCGTGCTGAGCTCACCTAATCTGTCTCGGAGCCCAACTGCCCAAACGGACAACCACGGAACCAACATAGTACACCATCAAGGCATCCTCTTCTTTATTTCCATGGGTCTCGCATCTCGTTCCAATCACCTCTCGGCCAACTCCCACAAATCGTTCTTTTCGCCCTTTCCAGCGCGCTACCTCACCAAACCCGAGTTCTTCTAAGGCCTCGCATGGCCCCGTCCTGCGCCCACTTCGCCTCACGCATGGCAACTCGCTAATCTCACCCCGAAGGCCCCTCACGACAGTCGGAAGAAGGCCCCAGCAAGCCTCACGAACCCTTCCGCCGGAACCCAACTGCCCAAACGGACAACCAGGGAACCAACATAGTGCACCATGTAGGCATCCTCTGCTTTCCTTCCCTGGGTCTCGCAGCCTTCCAAGACGGCTTCAGAAGGACCCAGGAACGCCTCAAGAGAGCCCCCAGAGGGGGGGCAGGGACCGACAGTTCGGGCTCCCCGCCCGAAGAGACCCCGCCTCCAACACGTACCGCCGTTTTTTGGGGCCACCTTCTCCTCAGAAACGTGCCCGGCACAACCTCCCACGAAACCCGAGGACCCCAGGAGACTCACGCCGCAGGTCGTCCAATTCAGTCCTCATACAGTCAGACACGTGCCCGACAAAACCTCCAGCACAACCCGAGAGCCCCCAGGACCTCCACATCCCCCAAACTCCATCCTCTCGCCCGTCCTGCGACATCGCGTCCCCTCCCTTCCTGTGGCCCGCATGGAAACGTGCTGAGCCTACCTCGTGACTCACATGGTCGCGTGCTGAGCTCCCCCCCTCCCTTCCATGTGGCTCGCATGGACACGTGCTGAGCTCACGTCCTGCCTCGCTTGGTCGCGTGCGCTCCCCACCTCCAACACGTACCGTCGTTTTTTTGGTACCCTTTTCCTTATAAACGTTCCCTACACACCCCCTCACCATACCCGAGGCCGGCAGGGGCCTCCCAGGGCCCTCCGACTCCCTTGCCTCGCCCGCCATGTGCACCCGCGACACCCTCCCCCCGCCGGTGGCTCGCATGGGACCGTGCTGCGCTCACCTCGTCACTCGTACGGTCGCGTGCTGAGCTCCCCTCCAAGACGCACTATCTTTTTCTCCGCTGCCTTTCTCTCCGGCCTGCCGGTGGTGGCTCGCATGGGAACGTGCTGAGCTCACCTCGTCCCTCGCATGGTCGCGTGCTCAGCTCACTTCCAAGACGCACCATCATTCCTCCCGCTACCTTTCTCTCCGGACTGCGGTCCAACATGCCCCCAACATGACTTTCACGTTGCCCCATGGCCCCATGGCCTCCCCTGGAGCCCCCAGGATCCGTCGCCACTTGGATCCGACCGGGCGCGCGCACCCAAGGCCTGCTGCAATGTGTTTCACGTCTGGCGACATTCCTGCATCGCCATACCCCGAGCACACATGCCTTCGTCGACGCGTTGGCCGCGCACACTCACCAAGGCCTTCATTTCGGAGTGGATTGCGACTCATGGCGACAATTGGGAATCGTCTCTGACAACGGGTCTGCAAACATGGAAGCCCCGTAAAGCCCAGCGTCAGGGCCTCACCACCATTACCGTGGAAGACTGGTGCATCGCCCTCGAAGTGCCCTTCAGAGGGTATCGCAATGACTTGCGCTCCGAGTACGTGCAACGGCTCTTCACAGCAGCGCGCCTGCTTCCACGAAGCTCGCCATCGGAACGCACGACTCCAACCAAATGGCCTCGACACCTCACTACCGACTGCATCACCACATTGATTGCGTCTCAAGGAGACGCCTGGGAAGCGACCCTGGAGTCGGGCTTACAAGCATGGGGCCCTCGAAAGAGGCAGCGAAACGGCAGCACTGACATCACACTCGAAGATTGGTGCATCGCTTTGGGCGTGCCCGTCAAGGGGTACAACGACGACCTGCGCTCCGAGTACGTGCAACGAATCCTCACAGCAGCGCACCTACTTCCACCAAGCTCGCCTGCGGAACGCACGCCCCAAACAAGATGGCCTCGCCACCTCACCACCGACTTCATCACCACATGGATCGCGTCTCAAGGGAACGCCTGGGAAGCGATTTTTCGGGTTCTCTGCCCCAATGACCCCAAGTGACGCCCAAGAAGACCCCAACAGGCCTCAAGACCTCATGACGCCTCCATAAAGCCCCGACAAGCCCCCAAGAGAGCCCCATAACTGCCCCAAGATCCCAGGACTGCCGGGAGCGCCTCGACACAGCGTCAGAGCGACAAACGAACAGCCCCGGGACTCCCTCAGGAGGGCCCCGGGACGGCTGAAGGACCTGAGGAGGCCCCAAGAGGCCCCCAAGCGTCACAGCGACAAACGGACTGCCCCGGGACTTCCTGGCTCGTACGGCGATTTCCTGAGCTCACCTTACGAGGTCTTCAGCAAGCCCCCAGAAGCGCCCAACAGGGCCTCAGGACAGCACCAAGAGGGCCCCCCTCGACAAAGCGTCAAGGCGTCAAGCGGACAACACGGGAACCCATGTAATGCGCGTAAAGCAGCACAGCGTCACTCGGACCACACTGGATCCAATGTAATGCGCTCCTTGGCCTTCCTCTTCTGGGTTCGCATGGAAACGTGCTGAGCTCACCCCGTTGCTTGCACGGTCGCGTTCTGAGCTCACCTCCAAGACGCACCGTTGTTTTTCTGGCCGCCTTTCCCTCTGGACAGCTGTCGCAGAGAAACCCCAAGCGAGTTTTCGTGTTGCCAGAAAGCCTTACAAGATGCCTCCAGGAGGCTTCAGTACGGCCGCATGCGGCCCCCGACCGCCGCAAGTTGTCCAATCCAGTCCTTATACAGTCAGACACATCCCCGACACAACCTCCAACCAAACCCGACGGCCCCCAGGAGCTCCCAGATTCTCCAAACTCAATTTTCTCGCCCGTCATATGTAACCGCGCCCCCTTCCTTCCCTGTGGCTCGCATGGAAACGTACTGAGCTCACCTCGTGACTCGCACGGTCGCGAGCTGGGCTCACCCCCTCCCTTCCATGTGGCTCGCATGGACACGTGCTGAGCTCACCTCGTAACTCGCCTAGTCGCGTACTGAGCCCACTTCCAAGACGCATCGTCGTTTCGTGGCCACCTTTTCTTCAGAAACGTTCCTGACAACCTCCGACGAAATCCGAGGTTTCGGGTTCTCCGCCCCAATCACCACTCCAGAGGCCCCCAGAAGCTCCCAAGAAGTTCCCAAGAGGCCCAAATAACGCCTGAAGAGGCCCCAAAAGGCCCCCAAGAACCTTCCAGAGGCCTCCAGCAAGCCCCCAGAAGCGCCCAAGGTGGGCGCAGTACTGCCCCAAGATAACCCCAAGACGGCTGGCGGTTCCTCGACAAAGCCTCACAGCGTCAAACGGACAACACGGGAACGTGATGATACCCCAAGAAGACCCCAAGATGCCTCAAGACCTCAAGACGCCTCCAGGAAGCCCCCAGAAGCTCCCAAGAGGGCCCCAGGACTGCCCGTAGCCATTTTGGCTCAATTTGGGGCTCAAGAGCCTTCCGGTCAGGATATCTTGCGCGTGCCCTCTGATATAGTTAATTGCACCGATTCGGCGCTTACCATTGCAAACAATGGACTCGTTCACGAGGCGTGCCTCATCTCAGTGCTTTCACAGCGATGAGTATTTTGAGACCTACACTTTCTCTCACCAATTCGACCAAGCATCAGGTGGCATGTGTACGTCGTTGCCCAGTTGGGGCTCACTGCCCACCATGCATCCGGTCTCCATGCAGTCGCAGCTTACCCGGCAGGAAAACCACCCCATGTTGCAGTCGAGCGGCGGCGAGTCGTGGAATACTTTTGACGAGTTCGACGACCCACGCGGGCGTCGGCGGGCAGAAATCCAAAGCAGCAACCCATCCGAACACGCGCAGGATTCAGCCCAGTTGGGCCTTGGCGGCGCCCCCTCTGCGGCCGATGCGCAGCTGCCATCTCGGCCTGGAGGCGTTCTGCTGCTCCATGGCCAGTCGCTGCCGCGCAGGCAGGAAGACCCCCCCATTTTGCAGTCGAGCGGCGGCGAGTCTTGGAAGACCTTTGACGAGTTCGACCACCCGCGCGGGGGCGCTCTGCCTCTGACCACAGTAGGCGCTCTTCTGCTCGATCGCTCCGCGGGGGCGGCGCCAGCCTATTCACCGACCAGGCCGCCCGGCATGCCGCCGCGTTCCACCGCCGAGACGTGGCTGGCCGCGGGCCCCCCAGGCGAGCCAGACCGCGCGGCGCGGGCGAGACAGCCGGCCAGCGGAGGGCGGGCAGGGGCCTCCACTGGCACGCCCGCGGCCGCCACGGCGCTGGCAGACATGCGGGCCCGGCTCCTGGCGCAGGAGCAGCTGCTGGCCCAGGTCCAGCAGCAGGCCCAAGACCTCAGGCGCAGGATCCGCGAGCAGCAGGCCGACCTGGCGGAGATGGAGCTTCAGCAGGGCGAGCCCGTTGACAGCATGCCGGCAGCCCCTGGCGCTCCAGCAATCACCACGCTCATGATCCTCAACATCCCAATGTCTGTTACGCAGCGTGACCTGCTGGACCTCATCGACAGGGCTGGTTTCAAGAACCGCTACGACTACGCCTACATGCCGGCAACTTTTGACAGCGGTACCACTAGAGGGATCGCATTTGTGAATTTTGCCGCCTCAAGCGACGCCCGCGAGTTTTCCGTCTTGTGGAACGGATCGCGATTGACTGGAGTTGCCGGTGCTGGAACCAGCGGGACCGTGATCGAGGTCACCGCGTCGGCGACGCAGGGCTACTCGGAGAACGTCAGGATGTGGAAGGCGAGCCGGCTGCGCCGCATTAAGAACCCCAAGTTTCACCCTTTCATCGCCCCGAGGCCAGCTGCCTAATGAACGCGCGGTTGACATTTTCATTGGATGCGCGGGATGTGGGGGATGGGGGGGAGCGCGCGGGAGGCCAAGGAGGACGAGGACGAGGACGCGGGCACCGCGCAGCGCGCCCCAGAGCGCGCCGGTTGGCGGCGACGGGCCCACCACGAGCTGCCCTCCTAGCGGGCAGCCCAGCCAGGCCGCGCGATCAAGGCGTGCCATGTGCAGAGAGGGATTTGTTTAGTGCGCTCGCTTGAATCTCTGCACGCAGCCGTGAATCATCATCGGCGGCAGAGCTTCACGTAGTTTCGCATTTGCTAGATCAGTATTCAGTATGAGAAAGTTTCAATGTTTCTAAGTGGGAAGCTTCCCTGGCCACATGAACCCGAGGTGCTCATTTCGAGGGCCCGGGTGCCTGAGGCCTCTTCGACCGACTGGAAATACCTGGTCGGCCGGCCGTGCCCTTCCCACTGACTTTGTTTCGTTCAACATTATAATATTTGAGGATTTTTTCATGTCTGTCTTTGCTCCACGCTTTCGAACGAGGGCTGTGGCCACTGCCTCCCATTGTTCATTGAGTACCCTCGCCGCCCCAGCGGCCATGCGTTCAGTGCGTGGCACCGAAACCTTCGGAGGCCAGCGCTCGGCTGCAGCAGGCGTGTTTTTGTTTTTCTGCCCACGTCGCAGGGCCGAATGCGGGCACTCGAAGCCTTGCACGACTTCTGGGCGCGTGGCACTCGCTGGCGCCTTCACACTCCTCAACTCCTGGGACCCCCCCCCCGAAAAAAAGAGGGCCCCAGGACTGCCCCAAGACCCCAGGACTGCTGGAAGCGCCCCGACAAAGCGTCAGAGCGACAAACGGACAGCCCGGGAATCCCTCAGGAGGGCGCCAGGACGGCTGAAGGACCTGAGGAGGCCCCGAGAGGCCCCCAAGACGACCCCAACAAGCCTCAAGACCTCACCACGCCTCCAGGAAGCCCCCAGAAGCTCCCAAGAGGGCCCCAGGACTGCCCCACGGCTCCAGGACTGCTGGAAGTGCCTCGACAAAGCCTCACAGCGACAAACGGACAGCCCCGAGACTTCCTAGCTCGTATGGCAATTTCCTGAGCTCACCTTAGGAGGTCTCCAGCAAGCCCCCAGAAGCGCCCAACAGAGCCTCAGGACAATCCTAAGAGGGCCCCACGACGGCTGGAGGCGCCTCGACAAAGCGGCACAGCGTCAAACGGACAACACGGGAACCAGCAGAATGCGTCCTATAGGCATCCTTTTCTTTGTTTTTCTCTGTCTCGCAATTCACGCGCACTTGTCCTCCAAGGTCGGGGTTCGTGACAATATCAGGTTTTTCGACCTCCCTGCGCTCGGGCCCCCCCCCGCTCCCGCCGCTGCGGGCTGTGGCCCTGGCCGCCAGGATGCGCGCGCCGCTTGAGACCGCAGCGGTCTGGCGGTCGCCGTGCCCGTTGCTTGAGGCAGAGGCGGAGGAGCATCTTCCGATGGCGCAGTGGGTGGGGGCGGGAGGTGGCACTGGGCTGTGGCCGAATTTCTGGGTCGAGCCTCCTCTTGCCTGGAGCCTGCGAGTGGCTGCGGAGGCCTGAGCGGAGCTCGGCCCCCTTGCCGCGTCCGCCCGTGCTGGCCTCTCCCTGCTGCGCGCTCGGCAGTCGGCCCAGCGCGAGGCCCTGGCGGAAGGAAGGCCCTCCCCACGCCTCAAGACTCAGCGTTGCCTCCAGGCTGGCATCTCTCCTCTTCTTCGCCCGTCTGCCTCCTCTCATTGTCTCTTGGCTCCAGCGCCGGTTCAAGGTCGGGGGGGATGTCTGTGCGGGCGTGGACTGGGTGGGGGTGGCGGGCGCCCTGATGAAATCCCCCCCATCCTGGAAAATGGCTGCCGTTAAGACCTGGGCGGGAGGATGGGCCACGGACGCGCGCATGCGAAATCCTGACCTCAGGTGTCTTCTTGGCTGCGAGTGCCGTGACTGCCTCTCCCACTTTGTGCGATGCTCTGGATTCCTTGCTCTTGTTGGGTCCGTGTCGGGCTCGAGGGTGGACCCTTCCCTGCCCCGACGGTTGGCCATCGTGGACCCCGCGCTCGCAAGGTTTCGACAGCTAGTGATTATTTTAGTGGCCTCCTGCCAGTGCCGCCGATCCAGTGCGCTCCTGATGTTATTGCTGTTGAAATGGACGATGGCGACGACAACGGACGACCAACGGTCGACGAGCGTGATAATTACGACGACGACCGACGAAGGAGTTAATGACGACGAACCGACGACGACGACGACGACGACGACGACGACGACGACGACGACGACGACGACGACGACGACGACGACGACGACGACGACGACTGACGGCGAACGGCTGCCGACGGCCGACGACCGACGACTGGTGATTGCGACGGGTGGAAGGTTCTTCGTTCGTCGCTTTCGCTTCCGAACAAGACCAAGTCAGACCGTGCACCTCTGGCCTGGCAGCACACGAGTGAGCGCTCTTGGGGCCTCTTGGTTCTTGGGGTTTCTTGTGGGCCTTTGGGGCCTCTTGGGGTCCTCTTGGGGGTCTCTTGGGGGTCTCTTGGGGACCTCTTGGGGGCCTCTGGGGGCCCCTTGGGGGCGCCTCGGGGGCATCTTGGGGGCTCTTGGGGTCATCTTGGGGTGGAGGACTAGAAGGGTCCGTTCGGATTCACCTTCTTGAGGCCATCTTGGGGGCCTCTCGGGGTCGTTTTGGCGGGCTTCCACGGCTCTATTGAACCCGTCTTGGGCCGTCTTGGCTTCTTTTGGGGCCTCTTGGGCTGTCTTGGGGCGATCTTGGGGACCTCTTGGACCGTCTTCGGCGCTTCTAAGACGGAAAAGGCGAGAATGTTAAAACGCTTCAAAACCTATTCGCAACTTTATTATTGTACCCTCTTGGAGCCCTCTGGGGGGTCCTCTTGGGATCTCCTTGAGGCGTCTTGGAGGCTTCTTGGGCCGTTTTCAGGCCATCTTGGGCGTCCAGGAGCGCTCTTGGGCCGTTTCGGGCGCCTCTTGGGACGTCTTGGTGGCCTCCTGGGCCCCTTTTGGCCCGTCTTCGGGCGGTTTGGGATTCCCGGGGGGGGGGGGAAAGAAAAGGGTGGACCCCATGACCCCCCCCCCCTTTTCCCCCCCTACCCCGGCAGAGCCCCCCCGGCCCCAGCTGAAACTCAGGTTGTAGCTTTCTGAAACTCACACGCCGGATCGGCGGATTTTCCACCTCCACCGTCTCCTTCATCAGGCGAGGAGACGGCGTGATTAATAGTGTCTGAGTGTGATCCTATTAGGAGGAACGCGAAGCTTTTCGGATAATGGGCGATCTAGAGACGCAGATGCTTCGCACATCAGGGTCAAGATCAGCCTTGCCAGTGCCAGCTGTGCTGGCAATGGTCCGCAGGCGGCCTTTCCCGGCTTCGTCGGCGCCTACTGTGCCGCTGGGTCAAGGCTCGGGAGGTCACGCCTCCCCGCGGGGCCAAATGCCTGCCGTCCGTTGGCAGGGCGCCGCACAAGGCGCTTTGCGTCGCAGGGCGCCTCACAGGGCGACCTGCTTCGCGCAATCCTGCCGTCACGTGGCAGGGCCCCTCACAGGGCGCAGGCCGCCTCGCAGCGCGCGCGATCACCAGCAGCACTCGCGGTTGACGCTCCGATGTGGGAGTGGAGCCGCAATTTGCGACGTAGGCAGAGCAGGCAGGTGTAGGCGATGACGACGAACCCCTTCTCGACGCTGCGCCTCCTCCTTCTCCTCCTCTTCCTCCTCCTCATCCTCTTCCCCCTCCTCCTCCTCCCCCATCCTCCGCTTCCTCCTTTTGTGGGCCGGCGCGATCGGCCGGCCTCGGCAGGGCCGGGCTCGAGGATGCATGCGGCATTCCAGAAAGGGCCTCGCCTTCAGGGATCGAAGGAGTTGCTATCTTTGCCTCCGCGGAAGGGCGGCGGAAGCCCGCGGAAGCAAAGCGAGGCCGCCTCCGCCGGCGGGGGCCCAGCGGAAGTCCCTTCCCCCTTCCTTCTCGGCGGCCCGCTTGCGGGGGCCTCCTTGTTTTATCTGCGGCCCCAGGGCTCGGCGACCCCTTCCCAAGGAGGTAGTCGGACAAACACAAGTAAGTCATCGGAGGTCGGGGGAGCCTGCGTGCCGCAGCCCTGCGCTCCTCGCGCAGGGCCTCGGAGCTCCGACGGCCCCATTTTCCATCCGCGGGCCCCGCGGGCTCAGGGGATATCGGCCACTTCCCCGGCGGGCGTCTTGGCGCCAGATCCATTGTTGGATCGGCCCACGACCCCGAAGCCAGGTGGCCCGCGGAGGCCGAAATTTGGAACGATTTGGTTCATGAGTGCGCACATGTATACATAACGCACACATACATGGGAAAACGCTTTCGTTCAAAAGCCGGGACCTGAATCACCAGTTTGGGTCTGGGGCCTCCAGGGCTTTTCCCTGCCTTTGAAGAAAGTTCCGAGGGTCCCCAGAGAGGCCCTGAATCTGGCAGAGGTCGAGAGTAAGCGACAAGGTCCCCAAGGGTAGGTTCGACGCCTCCAAGACGGCTCAGTACAGCTTAAATTTGCTGTCAACAGGCCCCCTTAGAGGGCGACGTACAAGTAGGAAACGCTACGTCGGGTGCCTGAGGTCAGTCTGAGTTCAGCGCAGTGCCCCCTTCTCAAGAGGACTCGCACACCAGATAGGACCCCCCCCCCTCCCGCCCCCCCCCTCCCAGATGGAACACCACCCCACCAGATAGGACACACCCAGATATGACACCTCCCAGATATGGTTTCCGCGTTCTTGGGCCGTCTGGGAAGTCCCTTGAAAACAAACCTGGTTTTGATGTTGTTCCCAACCATCCTGTGGTGTTTGGTCTTCGTTTTGAAGAGACAGCGCCCCGCGTCACCTCACCTCCCGCTGCCCCCTCCCCCTCTCCTTCCCCTCCTTGCCTCTGCTCTCTGCATGCCCATTCCATTTCGGCACACCCTCACACGCGTCGTGGCCCCATAGGGAGCTCCACCAAAGGCCCCAGCGGCAGGGTCCACATGGCGCGCCCGATTCGGCGCACCTCTCACACGCTTCGTGGCCCCATAGGGAACTCCAGCGACAGGGCCCACATGGCGTACCCGCACCCGCTTCGGCACATCCCTGACCGCCACCGAAGGCCCCAGCGGCAGGGTCCACATGGCGCACCCGCGCCCGATTTGGCGCACCCCTCACACGTTTCGTGGCCCCATGAGGGAGCTCCACCGAAGGCCCCAGCGGCAGGGTCCACATGGCGTACCCGCACCCGATCCGGCGCACCCCTCACACGCGTCGTGGAGGGAGCTCCACGAAGGCCCCAGCGGCAGAGTCCACATGGCGTACCCGCGCCAGATCCGGCGCACCCTTCACACGTCTCGGGGCCCCATAGGGAACTCCACTGAAGGCCCCAGCGGCAGGGTCCACATGGCGTGCCCGCACCCGATTCGGCACACCCCTCACACGTTCCAAGTCGGCGTCCATGTCGCACTCTCCGTGGGCCCCTAGGGAGCTCCACCAGAGATGGCATTCACCACTGCGTCACTCACAGCTGAACATGGTTGGGTCATTCGCCAGGCTAATGCAGAGCCGGACGTTTTCGCTCGGTTTCGGGCCCCAGGACCATTACGGATCGATGCGGCCCGAACTCTGCTGCAAAAAGATGGGCTCCAGGGATCCAACCGAATTTTTCCCAACCGTCCTGTGGTGTTGGGTCTTCGTTTTGAGGAAACAGCGCCCCGCGTTCCTCCTCCTTCCTCCTCCCCCTCCTCCCTCCTTCCCCTCCTCCTCCTCCTCTTCCTTCTCCTCCGCCTCCTCCTCCTCCTCCTTCCTCTGAGCCACCCATTTCGGCACACCCCTCACACGCTTCGTGGCCCCATAGGTAGCTCCACCGAAGGCCCCAAAGGCGGTGCCCACATGCGTCCGCGCCACCCATGTTGGCACACCACTCGCACGTTTTGTGGCCCCATGCGTCCGCGCCACACATTTCGGCACACCCCTTACACGTTTCGTGGCCCCACGAGGAGCTCCACCGAAGGCCCCAGTGGCGGTGTCCACTTTCGTCCCCGCCACCCATTTCGGCACACTCCTCACACGATTCGTGGTTCCATGGGAAGCTCCACCGCAGGCCCCAGTGGCGGTGCCTACATGCGTCCGCGCTACCCGATTCGGCACACCCCTCACACGTTTCGTGGCCCCATAGGGAGCTCCACCGAAGGCCCCAATGGCGGTGTCTACATGCCACACATGTCGGCACACCCCTCACACGCTTCGTGGCCCCCAAAGGAACTTCACCGAAGGCCACCGTGCGGGTGTCCACTTGCATCCCCGCCACCCATTTTGGCGCACCCTTCACACGCTTCGTGGTCACGTAGGAAACTCCACCGAAGATCCCCGTGGCGGTGTCCACATGCGTCCCCGCCACATATTTCGGCACATTCCTGATACGTTGTGGCCCCATGGGGAGCTCCACCCAAGGCCCCAGTTGCGGTGTCCACATGCGTCCGCGCCACCCATTGTTGCACACCCCATCACACGTTTCGTGGCCCCATAGGGAGATCCACCGAAGTCCCCAGTGGCGGTGTTCGCATGCGTGCGCGCCACA